AAGGGTTTGTCAGATCCAGCCGAGAGAATGGTTGTGAATGGGTAGGTATAGAATTTTGAAGGTGTGGAGTTTGAGAGACAATCTCCACATTTATCTTACAGATGTGCGGGGGAATTCAAGCCAATTATGGAGTCAAAGATATAGCATGTCCCCCTCTTCAATTAGTTATTTGGATTTAACATAAAAAAATCATCTTAAATAGAATTAAAACATAGAAAAATATCAAAATATGAGTTCAATGTTTTTATTTTCGAAATAGGAGTTCGTATTGTGATAATGTAACATTGTACATGTGTACATTACTAAACTTTTTAATAATATACGGAGTACATAATAATGTTTGGTAATGTAAATGTATTTTAAGTCCTATTTCGGAAATAAAAATATAGAAGTTCGATTTTAGTATATTTTTAATGTTTTACTCCTACTTTTGTCTTTTTTCCTTTAACATGTGATTAGTAATTACTACTCTTTCTGTCTCAATTAAAATTATTTGTTTACAATTTACAGAGTCCAATTTTATTAACTTTTTTTTATTTTTTTTAGTCATTCGATAAAATAATATAATCATGTCACCACTAATTTTGTAGATCTTATGATCTAATTTTTAAATATGTAATTTTTATTTTTTTGTTCCACACCTTTTTAGATAATATGATTTGAGAATAACTTCAGTCAAATATCGTAAACTAAAAAAAAAATTTAAATTGGGATCAAAAGTTTGGCTTTTAAACTAAATCTATAATTGGTCTTTTATAATCAAGAATTTGTCATATATAAAAAATATCAAAATTTGAGTAAAATATTGAGAAAATGATGATATACATTGTCAATAATGTCATTGTCCAAACTTCTATTTGGGATATAAAAATATGGAACTTTAATCCTTGAGATAAGAGCAATATTTTACTTATTATTGGATTGATTTTTACACCATATTTAATTTTCTATTATCAAATATCATATATGTGATCTATCTTTTGAAGCTGTGGAGTTTTAAACCATATTTAATTTTCTATTATCAATTTCATTGAACCAAGCATAGTGTTAAGGACACAAATAGAATTTTTCATTGGATAGGAATGTTATCCACCAAAACTTTTTAAGCTCCATTTGGCATACGGAATTCAAATTATAGAATTAGAATTAGAGAAAATAATTCCCATTTTGTTTGATAGCACAAAATATGTATATTTGAAATTGGTAGTGTCAAAAATGAATTGTAATTGAAGAGTTCAATTATATCCAAATCATTTCTATAGAAATGCAACTCTCAACTCAATTCTAATCCCGTCAATTAGGTGTACCAAACGAACATTTAATTTCTTGAGAACTTGTTTTCACTATTTTATGTATTCTAGTATTAGCGTCTTTAAATGTTTAATACTCCGTCCTAAATTACTCTATAAATTATCTATTTACTGTTTACAATGTCAAACTTCTTTCACTATCTTTTCCCATTTTTATTAGTCATTAGTTAAATTAATCTAATCATATCACTATTAGTTTTGTGGATCATTTGATGTGATTTTTAAATGTGTACAAAGTAATTTTATGATGTACTTCGACATCATTTTTTCATATAAAATTATTTTAAAATAACTTTAGTCAAACATTGTAAACTGAAACAGATAGTTTAAAAAGAGACGGAGTGGGTACAACACATTATATGAGTACAATTGTCAATTGTCAAATAGTCCAAAAGACTCTTATACACCTTTTACATTAAGCTAAAGCAAAAAAAATTTGTTGTCTTCAAGTTTATGTTCATTTTATAGATCTTCGTACATAAAATGACTTTATGTAAGGAACCTTGTAAAATAAAAAGAAAAATCCAACTTTGAGCTCATAGAAACTTCATCTAACATGCTATGTTCTCTCTTACTTACAGGGTAGTTGCATAAAGCCTCATATTCAATTCTACCAAACATATATTGTCACATCTTTGTTTGTTAAATATTTGATATACTTTAAAACAATGTAATATATATTTTTTATTGATATATAAATTTATATATATAAAAATTTTAAAGTATGATTTGTATGTTCAAATTTAGAAGAAAAAAGGATGGAAGAAGTATAATACAAACAAAAAAGAAAAAGAATTAAATAAAAAAGGCGTCTAATTTGACACCTGTCGGTTACGACAATTAGAAACCAAGTCGTTACAATAATTTAATTAGGATATCTATAATAATACCTCGTTCAAAAATGTGATGCATCTACCACCTAACATACACCAAGGTTCAAGTGACATTGAACCTTGATGTCATGGGATGAACCGGGGGCGTTCCGGTGCCTCGTTCGTAAAATTGACGGTCCCTACCCCCCCCTAACCCCCCGGTAAACCCCCCCACCTGGCCCCGACCCGAACACACACCCCCACCCCCTTCAATGTCACTTGAACCTTCCTCCCTAACATATTGCTAGAGTGAGAAGGGGGTTGGGGTAGGGGTGGACACGGTACGGTTCCGGGACGGTTCCGGTTCCGGTACCGCCACCCCTTGGTACCGGTACCGTGACCGGACCTGCCGGTACCGGTTCCGGTACCGGACCGGCCACCCCATTTTTTTTTTTTTGCTTTTTTATTGAATTTTGTGAAAAAAGGAGCAAAAAGGAGATGGAGAGCAGAAAGGAGCAAAAAACGAAAAAAAAAATTAACCGGTGCCGGTAACGAATTTCGGGCACTGGAACCGAGACCGGTTGTGGCGGTACCGGTGCCGGTTCTCGGAACCGTTTCGCCGTGCCGGTGTGCGTTACGGTGCTCGGTACCGGCGGTACCGTTTCCGGTGACGGTACCGAACCGGTACCGTGTCCAGCCCTAGGTTGGGGAGGTGAGATGCCCAATTGATCTTGTGTCCTAATTTCACATTACTTTTTGAATATTTGTTTAGTTTTCATTTTTTGCACACAATGTCTAATATTAAATTTATTCAATTAATAGTAAAAAAATTTGTCAATTTTGATAGTAAAAAATTGGACAAATAATTAAAGAAATACTCCCTCCGTCCCGTTTTAAATTGCATGTTTTGACTTTTGAGCATATATAAAGAAGAGAAAAAATAGAGTTGATTTTTCAAGATTGTCATTACTTTTTAGGAGGGATGACGATGGATAAGAAGTAAAGGTGGAGAAGAGTGACTTATTTTAGGGATAGTTTAGATATTTTTTACTCTTAAAAGTTTACGATAACAAGTAACATACAACTTATTTTGGGACGAAGAAAAAAGATAAACATGCAATTTAAAATGGGACAGAAGGAGTATACAACAACAAGAGCCAAGTTGGACAAATAATTAGGGAAATAGAACAGAGCTAATTATATACTCCTTATATTCTTGATTTCCAATTCAATTAAATTGCGATCCAATACTGTGGTGCATAGGCATTGAATTTTATTTGATTTTAAAACATTTTTTTAATTCTTCTTCATTCTTCTGGATGAGTACTTTTGCCTAATCTCATCAAGCCGATCAGGTATGTGCTTGATTAATTATGAATTAATTTTATACGGATCGGACTATGTTTTAATCATTGATTTAGTGATTTTGGTGTATTTATTATTTGTCTTTTTTTAATTATATCTTTCAATGAGGCCTCTCTTTTATAGGAAGTCACAAGTTTAAATATTATTAGAAAGTTAACTCTTTGTACTTCAGTAATTTGGAAAAATATATTGCTTGAAAGTTGAATCTTACTTTGTAAATTGAGAAAATATGTATGAATAAATACTAGTACATTATAATAGAGTTACTAATAAAACAATATGTTTCTTTGTTCTGTGGTTCTTTTTTAAATATGGGTTATAACCTCCGTTATATATCAACAAAATGAAAATTAAATGTGTAACAAATAAATATTGTGCAATGATTAAATATGTGGACTTCAGTTATTATATTTTTAATAGCGAATAAACATTATGAGTTCAGAGTATGTCTGAAAAAGAAACACATAAAAAATGAGTATTACAAGTACTATTCTAGAAATTCCCCTTGTTTTCTCTATCACTATGTTTGGTTCAAAGAATTTGAGAGGGAAAGGAAAAGAAAACTAGAAGGAAACTATTTTTTTGTTTGTTTAAAGAGGAAAAGAAAAGTTGATGGAAAAGAAAATGAGAAGGCAAATAGTACTAAGTGAATGGAAAACCAAATTCCTCGTATTTTGGTGAAAAAATGAGGAAAAACTATTTTCTTTTCTTTTCATTTGAAATATTTTGAACCAAACATAGTGTATGTTTAAGTGGTTGGACAAGAAAAGGTTATGGATGTAAAAAATAATGTGGGCGAGTTAGGTGGTAGAAAAATGGAACTTTCCAAGTAAAATATAGAAGGAACATAACAATTCTCTAAAGAAAAAGTCAGGGGTATAAAGTTAAACGGTAAGTCTAAAATGACACCAGTGTTACTGGTATCATTTGCTTACACTAGTTCGTTTAGGGTACCTACGGTGCTCCGTTTGTAAAAACGACGGTTCCTACCCCCCCTAACCCTCCACCCCAGCCCCACCCTTGCCCCCCACCCCAGCCCCCCCTCCCACCCCCCTCCCTACCCTGGCAGTACACTGCCAGGCAGTGTACTGCCAGGGTAGGGAGGAGGCGGGAGGGGGGCTGGGGTGGGGGGCAAGGGCGGCTGGGGTGGGGGGTTTAGGAACCGTCATTTTTACAAACGGAGCACCATAAGTACCCCAAATGAACTGGTGTAAGCAACTGGTGGATAAGTAACTGGTGTCATTTTAGACGCTCCCAAAGTTAAATATGTTATAGGAACATAATTGCACAACAAAGTAACACCTTAAATGGGGCCATGGTAAAAACTAGAAAGTCTGTGTATATTCCTTTTAACATAAAGAATATCATCTCCCATTAAGAAAACAAACAAATATGGCAATCATTTTTCCAACCTAAATTGTAGAGTGAAAAGAGTTTCAACTTTCAAGGTAAAACCAAGCAAGCAGTACATGATTTTAATCTTTTTTTTCTCAAGTTTTTTAAATGAAAAAAGATACAAAATCAAACATGCTAATCATTTTCCCATCTCAAATTGTCAAAAGGTAAACTTTCTATACAAGTGCATATGTGTAGGCTAGCTATTTTATCTGTCTTACATATGATGGTTTGTTTTCATTTTTTTTTCTTTGAAGAAATTGCAGAGAACTCAGCCCTATTTGCGGCTTTGATTTCCAAAGATGATGCTAAGATCATACACAAACCTTTTAGATTTGGCCACAGGCAATTTCCCAACAATGAAGAGGGAAGGAAGACGAATGCCGAGGGCAATGTCTGTACCTGGGAACATATGCGTTCTTGACGATCAACAGTCCCATCACAGCGCTGCATTCTCTGACAATCCGTCCTCACTTTCCAGTGATAGGATGATCATTGTCGCGAATCAGCTGCCACTTAAAGCTACAAGAAACGCGGACGATAAAGAATGGATTTTTACCTGGAATGAAGATTCTTTGCTGTTGAGACTCAAAGATGGGTTGCCAGAAGACATGGTGATCATATACGTGGGGTGTTTATGCATCGATGTTGATCCAGTGGAGCAGGACGATGTTTCTCACCACCTACTGGAGAAGTTCAGATGCATCCCCACATTCCTTCAGCCAACTGTTCTTGAAAAGTATTATGAGGGCTTCTGCAAGAAACACCTATGGCCTCTTTTCCACTACATGTTGCCCTTCTCCCCGGATCATGGGCCCCGCTCTGACCGTTCTCTGTGGCAGGCATATGTTTCGGTCAACAAGACTTTTTCCCAGAAAGTGGTGGAGGTTCTTAATCCGGATGAAGATTTTGTTTGGATCCACGATTATCACTTGATGGTGTTGCCCACATTCTTGAGGAGGCGGTTCAACCGGTTAAGAATTGGTTTCTTCTTCCACAGCACTTTCCCTTCTTCTGAGATTTACAGGTCTCTACCTGTTAGGGAAGAGATTCTGAAGGCTCTGTTATGTTCGGATCTCATCGGTTTCCACAATTTTGATTACGCGCGCCATTTCCTCTCTTGCTGCAGCAGGATGCTGGGGGTGGAGTATCATTCGAAAAGGGGTTATATTGGGATGGAGTACTATGGTAGGATTGTTGGTGTAAAGATTATGCCCATTGGAGTCCACATGGGACAAATCGAGTCGCTGATGAGGCTTGCAGAGAAAGAAACGAAACTTGGAGAGCTTAGGAAACGATTTGAAGGGAAAACTGTGTTGCTTGGGGTTGATGACATGGACATCTTTAAAGGCATCAACTTGAAGCTTCTAGCTATGGAACACATGCTCAAACAACACCAAGAATGGCAAGGGAAGGCTGTTTTGGTCCAGATTGCCACCCCTCCCAAAGGGAGAGGGATCGATTTGGAGGAGATCAAATCTGAAATCCAAGAAAGCTGTAAGAGAATCAATGGAGAATTTGGAGAAGATGGGTATGAACCTGTTGTTCTCGTCGACTCACTCATATCAAGCAGTGAAAAAATGGCTTATTATAACATTGCAGAATGTCTTGTCACCACACCTGTAAGGGATGGGATGAACCTGAGGCCATATGAGTACGTTATTTGTAGGCAAGGAATACCTGGTGGTGCAGAAACAGACTTGGGCTCGGGCTTTGGTGAGCCCAAGAAGAGTGTTTTGGTCTTATCCGAATTCATTGGGTGTTCACCTTCGCTTAGTGGGGCAATCCGGGTCAACCCGTGGAACATTGAAGCTACTGCTGAGGCAATGAATGAGGGTATCTCGATGGGTGAAGCAGAGAAACAGCTCAGGCACGAGAAGCATTATCGCTATGTCAGCACCCATGACGTGGCGTACTGGTCTAGAAGCTTCTTGCATGATTTGGAGAAAAAATGTGCAGATCACTTCAGGAAAAGATGCTATGGTATTGGGTTGGGGTTTGGTTTCAGAGTCGTGGCCTTAGACCCCAACTTCAGAAAGCTATCAATAGATGAGATTGTCTCGGCTTATGTTAAGGCAAATAACAGAGCAATGTTGCTGGATTATGATGGAACTGTTATGCCTCAGAGTTCTATCATAAAATCGCCTAGTGCACAAGTCCTCACCATTTTAAACAAAATCTCTAGTGAGAAGAAGAATGCAGTGTTTATAGTTAGTGGGAGAGGAAGGGAAAGCTTAAGCAGCTGGTGTTCACCTTGTCAGAAGCTGGGGCTTGCAGCAGAACATGGCTACTTCATGAGGTATGCATGGTTTCCTGATCATCCTCTTAATCCTTCAGCCAAATAAGTCAATAAGGCTAATATTCAGAATGAGCTTACCAAACAGACCCTTCATGTCTGGTTCTTGAAAATAAATACTTGTGCAGGTGGACACAAGATGGTGAATGGGAAGAGGCGAGTCAGAACTGCGACCTTGGATGGATGCAACTTGCTGAACCAGTGATGCAATCGTATACAGATGCAACAGATGGGTCTTGCATTGAAAAGAAGGAAAGTGCGATCGTGTGGCAGTACATTGATGCAGACCCCAGTTTTGGGTTTTCTCAGGCCAAGGAGATGCTTGATCATCTTGAGAGTGTTTTAGCCAACGAACCTGTTGCTGTCAAAAGTGGGCGCTCCATCGTAGAAGTCAAGCCACAGGCATGCTTTATATATCAATTGCATTCTCTCTATAGGGCCTGTTCCCAACATTCAATTCAGCTAAATAGGCAAATAAGAAGATACTTATTCTGTTTATGATTCTGTGATTTCTATGTTTATATTTTTTTTTTCATTTTCAGGGAGTTACCAAAGGATTGGTTGCAGAAAAGGTATTCACAAAGATGGCAGAACAAGGGAAAGCAGCAGATTTTGTGCTTTGCATTGGGGATGACAGATCAGATGAAGATATGTTTGAAATGATTGATATTGCACTCTCTAGAGATATCCTCTCCCAAAGTACAAAGGTTTTTGCCTGCACTGTTGGACAGAAGCCCAGCAAAGCCAAATACTATCTGGATGACCCCTCCGAGGTGATACTCATGCTTCAGTCTCTAACTGAGGTCACCTCCGATGATGATAACAAATAAAGTCGAAATTCTGCTTAAATGGATCCCTCTTCATGGCTGAGAAAGGGAGAAGTCTTGTTGTTTATCAAAACTTTGAAGAGATAGTAAAAGTCCTGCAGACTGAAGCAAATTATGAATTGAATCCCTAGAAAAATAATCAGTGCACCCAGTACTCTTTTCTTATTCGGGCATGCACAATTTTGCTCGTTAAGGCGCTGAGCCTACTCTAACAGCTAAAGGCCATGCACTGCTATTTAGAATACTCATTGTATCATTGTATGTTAGCTCTTTCCTGGTTAAATTGAATCCACAAAGAAATTGTCTAAATAATACACAAATGAAAGAGTTATTTTTCATCTTTAATTTCATTTAGATGTGTAGTGTGACATTGATGACATTGTGACAAATGAAGAGTGCAACTTATGCAAATAAGACAAAGAAAGCACATAGAGAGATTTTACAGATTCCCTTTGTGCAGATGTATAGTGCCAAATTCGACCTTTTAGATCAGATAAGTGAGCATTAATACTTAAGATTTCATCTTGGATTAAGAGTAATTCAAGTCTATATATTTTAGCTTGTATTTGTATAATGCTATAGTTCTTCAATGTGGTTTGTAAAATGCCCTAACACTGACATAGTGGGGTTGGGGGTTTCGGGGATGAACAAGCTCAACAAAGCAGGGATGGTGCGGAACAAGAATATTTATAGTTTATGGCAATCCGAAATTCTATTTCTAAGAGATTTTAGTTACATGGATTACAAAGCAGTGATTTTTATACAAAAGAGAAAAAATACGTTTAAGGATGCAATGTCTTTGAAATCACAAAATGCAAAGTATACAAATTATCATACAGCTGCTGGGGTTGGAAGCACCGGAGGAACACGGATGTTTTGAGAGGGGATCTCAACAAACTCAGCTAGAATTGCACGGAATTCATCTCCGCTCATAGTCTCCTTCTCAATAAGCACTTCCACTATCTTATCAATGGCTTCACGGTTGCTCCGGATGTGTCTCAATGCAATCTCATAAGCACTGTCTGAAATCCTCTTCACAGCTGCGTCTATGTCTTCTGCAAGCCTTTCTGACATGGAGTTACGGGCCATCATTCTCATGATGACATCAGCACTTTGAGCTGCCGAGTCCATGAGTGACCAAGGACCAATTTCAGACATCCCAAAAGTAACAACCATCTATTAAAAGAACAACCACCCAAAGGAACTCTGAGTAAGTGCATGTTTGGAAAGTGCAAGGGAAAGGGCAAAATATTATGTAAAGGACAATTACATTAACCACACAGAGAACAACACTTTTTTCTCCTAAATCTTCTGTTTCCTCGCATATTTTCTTGCCTACCAACTCTCTTCAATGTTTTCTTTCATACGGAGTATTATCTTTCCTTAATGTTTCCTTGGATCCGAGGTCCAAACAGACTCCAAGGGGTATGTGTGGATCCCACAAAGCACCACAGAAATGATAAGAGATGCTTAGAAGTAAAAAAAAAGTCATTTGTTCATGTCAGGTTTTACACTGGAAATTGCAAATAACACGAGTCTCAACAAGTGCATGCTAGAAAAATGAATGTTAATTATTGTTCATATACTTAGATTCTTAATATTTATATAATAGACATGAATAAATAAAATGTGTATCAACAAATTTCTAAAATGGAGTCATTGGGTTTTATAATGTCCCTTTTTTTTTGAATTTTCCATCTTGTTTCCTTTCCCTAGTGTTTTCCAAAAAATAAGTGGACGCAAAAGCTCTTGAAAAAAAAGGATAAAAGCTGTTCACTGTTGCAACTTGCATACCTGTTTGGCCAAACTAGTGGTCTGTTGCAAATCACCGGCAGCACCAGTGGTCACCTCGGAAGCTCCAAAGATAACTTCTTCCGCAGCTCGTCCCCCGAGTCCTCCAACAATTCTAGCAAAGAGTTGTTGCTTAGAAATCAAAGTTGGGTCGTCTGACGGAATGAACCAGGTCAGACCTCTTGCCTGACCTCGTGGGATAAGTGTGACTTTTTGAACAGGATCATGTCCGGGAGTCAGGGTACTGCATCACATTGCATGAAATGCAACAACTATGTTATTCACATGTAAACTCAATTTCCAAATAGATTCCATTGAATTTAATGTATTTTTTCCAACAACAAAAAAGTATTCCAGACAAGTTAGGTAGGTAAAATTTAGTTCAATAAAAAAATTTAGGCAAATTTTATGGTCGGCCCAAGCTCCACCATCCAAAGAAGTACTCCAACAATTAAATTCATAGATATAATTAGAACTTATATCTCCCACAAAAGTCGAAAGGCAGAACAGAAATAACTCAGTTTTTAACTCAGAGTAAATACAGGTTGTTTTTGCACTAATGACTAACCCACAAATTGCATGGCCAACTTCGTGGTATGCGACTAGACTTTTGCTCTTGCCATCTGTCATAGTCGTCCCTTCCATCCCTGCTACAATCCTGTCAATTGAATCATCAATCTCTTTAGATGAGATTGCTGTTCTCCCACGTCTTCCAGCTAGTATTGCTGCCTCGTTGAGGAGGTTAGCCAGATCAGCTCCACTGAAACCAGGTGTCCTCATTGCTATTACTTCAAGAGACACATTGGAATCGAACTTCTTATTGCTGGCATGGACCTTCAAGATCTCTTTTCTTCCCCTGATGTCTGGAACATCAACAGTCACCTGTAACATACAATGTCAAATTTAGCTTTTCATGGTATATCGTTCCACATTCATTGTTTGTTAGTTCAAGTCAATTATTTGAGTCACTTTGGTTTATAGGTGCATGTCCACTCGATGGTTTGGTTTAGGACACCTCTTTTTTTTTTGGGGGGGGGGGGGGTTGATAAAGTCATTTGTAGATTCAGGTTTAGTGTTTGGGTGAGGGCTATTTCAACACAAAGAAAGCAAACATGCAGTTATTAGGTTACCTGTCTATCAAACCTCCCTGGCCTCAACAAAGCAGAGTCAAGAATATCAGCACGATTAGTCGCTGCAATAACTATAATTCCAGTGTTTCCTTCAAAGCCATCCATTTCAGTCAGAAGCTGATTAAGAGTTTGCTCCCTTTCATCATTCCCTCCACCAATACCAGTCCCTCTTTGCCGCCCAACTGCATCAATTTCATCAACAAACACAATGCAGGGGGCATTTTCCTTGGCCTTCTTGAAAAGGTCACGAACACGAGACGCACCAACACCAACAAACATCTCCACAAACTCCGAACCGGAAATTGAGAAGAAAGGGACACCCGCTTCGCCTGCTATGGCTTTTGCAAGTAACGTTTTACCCGTACCAGGGGGTCCCACAAGAAGAACCCCCTTAGGGATGCGAGCCCCGATGGCAGTGAACCTCTCGGGTTTCTTTAAGAACTCTACCACCTCCATAAAATCTTGCTTTGCTTCGTCAACACCGGCCACATCATCAAATGTCACACCAGTGTTTGGTTCCATTTGGAATTTGGCTTTGGATTGACCAAAGTTCAGCGGGAAACCAGGGCCACCGGGACCTCCCATTCCTCCCGAAGACCGCCTAGATAATAGGAACAGACCACCGATCAAGAGAAGCGGGAATCCTAGATTCCCAATCAGGTTAAACAACAGAGAGCCAGAATCCTCTTGAGCATTGTGGGCAGCAAAATCGATATTCTTTTCCCTGAACTTTTGAAGGAGTTCCTGGCTGAGCCCTGGAAGTTGAACACGAACCCTCTGAACCCGATCCCCTAGTTCAGGGGAAACAGCCTCAACAATGGCAATGGTTCCATTTTCAAACAAATCCACCTTTTTCACTCTACCCTTGTCTAAATACTCCAGAAATCTGGAATACGACATCCTGGAATTGGACACCGCCTGTTCATCTGCATTAGCTTTCCCACCTCCGAGAAGCACAGGAGCAGCAACACCTGCATTTCCTAGCAACAGTTTCAAAAAGCCCCTTCTTCCTTGAACAGAATCACGGCCCACGGACGCATTCACAACAACACCCCTTGAAGTTCTGTTAAGCGATGGCAAGCGCGAAGCAAACAAAAGCTTCCTTCCATAAATCTCCTTGTTATCAAAGCTCGCACGTCTTGTTCCATGGGCGGATAACAGACTCCCCCCTGCTATGCACACTGATGAAGTTGCCATCTCGGCAAATTTCCAGTAATCTGGGAAGAAATCTTGGAATCAATCCATACATATTGCAAGAAAAACACAAACATGACCCAATTATGAAAAAAACACAGCAGACTAAAGGGACAACAGATAGAGCTAATAACAAGAGAGATCTGGAGAAGAAACCTGCAAAAGAACGAAGCGGGTCGACCCGATCACAGAATAACTTGAGAATTCAGCTCTTACAGTCCGAGCTCAAGCTAGCTCCAAGAAGAAGAGAATCGAAACACAGTTACTAGAAGAAGAAAGAAAGATGAAAGGATGGAGAAAGACTGGATTTTTTTGAAGAACAAATGGATGGTGTGGCTTTGATACGTGGCCCTTACTGTGAGGACACCGTTCTAAATCCGAAGCGAAACCTATTCCGAACCGCCCCTGTGGATTTAGACAATTAGACCGCGATTCGAGCCTCTCCAACGGTCCAACACTCCAACCGGTTTTGTTTAATATTTCATCCAATTTCAGAATTAGAATCAACTTGTATCTGGCTAAGGTTGCGCTTTGTTTGACTGATCTCATTTGATTTTTTGAAGATCTGATATGATCTGAACTGATCTGATTGTAGTTATAATAAAGTTGTTTCCAATCTGATCTGATTTGATCTAGTCTGATCTGATCTGGTCTGGTCTGATCTGATTATAATAAGAATAAGTAATAATAAAAAAAAAAATAAGTTGAACGAAACGCTGCCTAAAGGTGGTCATGGTTTGTGATTAACTTCAAAATCATTTAATACTATTTCATCTTCAAACAAAATAAAAATTGAGCATAATTTTATTTTAATAGTAAACAAAAGATGAATCCACTTTTAAAAAGTAGTGATTTTTTCTAGTAATATGATATTGGATTATTAATGAGTAATTGAGTATAAAATAATAAAAAAAGTATTCATTAAAATAATACTGATTTTAAAATGTCTAAAAATAATCTTAGAATAATAAAAGAAGAAAAACACAACAGAAAATATTTCGTATATGATAAGATAAAGTACACAAATAAATAGTTGATTATCCGATCATGTCATATTTAAAATCAGTTCGAGATGAAAAAAATCTAGTCTTAAATACGATAAACCGTTTGGTGTCATTGCGATCCAATATAGTACCATTGTTAGTTCAATCTTTTTGTCAACCACTTATATCTAACCCTATTACTGAAAATGATTACACATTGTGTGCAATACCTATATTTTTAAAGAGGATTTACGCCATTAGTCACCAAGTGAAAGTTACTATAATTCCTCAAAAATTTACATTGAATAACACCGTTTTAAGATATGTATCCTGAATAACATCATTTATAACAAATTCAAATAAATATTGTTTCTAAATCATTGCTCGTTGTCCCTAACTTCTAATGCAGTGATATAAACATGTTCCGTTAGATTTAGGCTCTGTTCCGTTCAACTTATTTTTTCTGATCTGATCTGATTTTTTGTAGTTCTGATCTGATTGGATCTGATCTGATCTGATCTGATTGGATCTGATCTGATCTGATCTGATCTGATTGGATCTGATCTAATCTGATCTGATTGGATCTGATCTGATCTGATCTCATCTGATTGAATCTGATCGGATTAATTATGATTTGATTTAAAATTCAAATCAATAATTTGAGTTTATAATAACGTTTGAAAATTGTAATGATAATTCATATTATAATATAATCAATATTTTTTATTTATAATTATTTTTTAATAAAATAAAATTAGTTAATTTATATATTAGAATAATCATTCATATTTTAATGTAGTAATATTTTTTATTTTATGATTATTGTTTGTGAAATAAGAATATTGATTTAATATTTTAATAATTAGTTCATACATACATTAGAATAAATATTTAATTTATATAAATCAATACAGGTAGCAATAAAAATCTATTTTAAAAGTAGAATTAGATTGACTTTGTCAATGTATTTTAAAAATAATTTTTTCGACGTTTAATAATTAAGGATTAATTTCTTTGTTTTCTATTTAACTTATTTATAAAGTTTATTCTTTTTCATTTTTAAGAAGAAGAAGAAAAATAAGAATAAGAATAAGAATAATAATAATAATAATAATAATAATAATAATAATAATAATAATAATAATAATAATAATAATAAGAAGAAGAAGAAGAAGAACAACAACAACAACAATAATAATAATAATTCTTTATGGGATCTGATCTGATCTGGTCTGATTGGATATAATCTGATCTGATTAGATCTGGTCTAATCTGATCTGATCTGATTCGATCTGATCTGATTTTAATAAGAATAAAAAAAAATAAGAAAAAATAAGTTGAACGGAACATGGCCTTACTTCTTAAAATTAATTATTTCTATTGATCAATATTACACGAGTCTAAAATATGCTTTGGTTTTATTTTATAATATTCCTCTATCCTAAACTTAGCTTTTTTTTTTGTTTCGTTTGATTTTTGTGACGCACAAATTAAAAAAAAATTAAATCTCACTGTTAAACAAAGTAACTACACAATTAATGAATACTTAAACGAAAGAAGCAAGTTTATTTCAAAAAGGAGCAAATTCTTAGTGGTTGCTGACTTACTGGTTACATAAACATCTTTATAGTTTTGTGCTAAGTATTCATTAACTTGTTTATGTGAAGTTTAATGCATTATTATGGGGTATCTAAACTTTAAATTAAACCCCCATTGTTATTATTATTATTATTAGCTCGTATGGAGTAGTATATATTTTTCATAAGTATCACACAACATAAATCTTAACTGTGAAACTCTTATGATCAGCTTCTCATCACCAGGCTTCAATCATCTTCCCAGCAGGAAAAGAGGTATCATATTCTGATAGCGAACATCATCGTCATCGTCTAAGGCAAGTGCCCTCACGAACTCGAGCAAATCTCGGTCAACCGCCGGAGGGCCCACATTAGACTTCTTCCTCTCAAGAAGCGCGGACCGACAAACAGGGCAAGACCCTTCCTTAGTCACCCAGGGGACAATGCATTCGTCGTGAAACATGTGGCGGCAAGGGGTAACGGTCACCTCCTCCCTGGCCTCAAAATCTTCCAGGCAAACGGAACACCTCTTCCCCTCCTCCTCCTCCTCCTCCACCTCCCTCTGCTTTGGGGTGGCTGGATTGTACTTCTCCTTCCTGAGTTTGGACAGCACCTTGTTCTGCTCATCTATGGTTAACTTGGACTCGTCTCCAGGGGATTGATGGTTGCGATGGTGCTGCATGTGCCTTGGAATAGAAGAACGGCCTGGTTGTGGTTGAGTTGGAAAACCATTTCCTCGCACGACTTCTTCGTAAACTGTAACTCGGGTTGGCAATCTGCAGTTTCAGTTACAATGTTTGTGTTACTATTAATTGCTTCACCAAATAAAGAACAGCTAGGTTCAGTGGCCACTCTCTTTTAATGGCCCAGAGAACAGTGTCCCAATTAGGAGACGTACGGTGCTCCGTTCGCAAAATTGATAGCTCCTACCCCCTACCTTCCGGTAACCCCCCACCTAGTCCCGATCCCAACCCATCCCCCCACCAACGTCAATTGCACCCCACAAGTTTAGTTGACTTTTGGGTCAATTTTATTTACCCCAATGTCAAATAAATTTGGAACTATCAATTTTATAAACGGAGCACCGTAGGTGTCCAGTGTCCTCTGTGGCCACACAAAGAAAGTAGCCATAGAACCAGCCCGAATAAAGTATAGGAGCACTGTTAGAGTATAAAACATTTCCCGAGCCAACAACCACAAGCTTGAACATTTAGATGAGTTGGTCTTGTTGATTCAGAGGTCAGGAACGCCTCCGCACGTTAGGGCGGCATGTTATAGAGTATACAATGGGCCAACAACCACAAGTTCAAACTTTTGGTTAAGTTGGTTCCCTGGCAAGCACAAAAGGAATTAGAATATTCATGTTGATGTTATCCCACACCAGGAACTTCCCTACATATCAAAGACCTAAGAATTTAGAAATATACTGTCAAATTGTCAGGCAGTGTTATGAAAATCCTAATCTTCGCTTAAGCTTTTGCTTTTCCATGGGAGCCTAGCTTTGCCTAATTCCAGTGTAGAAACTTTGAATTAAAACCCGGCTAAGGGCTAGGTCATAATATTTTGCCTATCCTGCGCCTAGCACTTTTTACAACACATTGGTACCAAGAGCTTAAATGATCATTGAACCCCACACACCAAATATTATTCAGGTTTGGATATAAACATGTAAAGGTCGGTTTAGTTGTGAATAAAAGATTTGAAATGAGCAGTGGGAGGAAAAGTCTGTTTGGGAATCACAAACAGAACTATGAAATTTTTTATTAGTAACATAAAGACTGAAGTTACGTGGTGTCGGTGGTGAATCCGAAAAGCGCTCCTCCTATCAGTCTCCTTGAATTAGACGGCAACCTGGAACGCTGAAAGCCTGGATTCTGGCTGCTCTGGAAGGACTACAACCAATCAATGAGAAATGAGCATATGCAGAAACAAGTATGTGTCCATGTGCAAAACATATATACATACAGAGTACATGTGAAGATGCGCTTACTGGAGGTGGAGGCTCTTCTGAAGATAGAAATCCTGGTTGTATTCTATTCCTGTTGTACCAATCACTAGCCTCTTCTGACAAGCGTGAGTGAGGAAACCCATGTAGAACTCTGCTCCTGTTGTACAGATCAGCAGGCTCTTCTGGAGGAGAAGATTGAGGAAATCCAGGTTGCACTCTGCTCCTGTTGTACTGATCAGTAGGCTCTTCTAGCGGACGAGAGTGAGGGAACCCAGGTTGCATCTGGTTCCTGTTGTATCGGTCAATCGGTTCTTCTAGAAGATGAGATTGACGAAAACCAGTTTGCATTCTGGTTCGGGCATACGAACTAGGTGGACCCTGGATAAAGCTTCCCAAATCATTTCTCTGCCAATATCTCTGACTCTGAGGAGGGAGATAGTCAAAAGGGTTGTCGCCATGCCAGCTGCTCATCTTGTTTATGGTCCTTCTGCTCAAACAGATCAAGAAAATGAGATGAGCCTCTTAGCTTAGGAGCATTTTATTTAAGCACATTACTTATTAGCTTCTTTCCAGAATACCATTGGAGGGAATGAGCTAAAACAAAGATTCTTTTTTGGATGAAAAGATTTGTCCTTTTGTGGTGGCCAGCATTAGAAATGAGAGACCATCAAAGTAGAAATCAAGCAAGGAATCCAATTCCAGAACTGTTTACATTTGAAAATACTGCTTACTGTAAAAGGGGCATTACGAATTCCTAACTTTATCGGAAGAGAAGATTCGAAAGGCATTTGAAATAGTGATAGAGAGGTGAAGTTCACACATTTTGCATAATTCAAAATCACCATTTGATAAGTTATTTGGAGTAAATCGTTAAAGAGATATTATATTCTTAAAAAAATAATTGTAATTGAAAAACAAACTATTCAAGTCTAAAACTGTAAATCTAGCACAAAAAGATTCTGGTTTGTCTCATTTACATTTTTCAATTCACTTCTCTCCACTGGTAAGCAAAATCAAGAAGCATATCAAACCAAAAGTGTGAGGATAAATACTACTCCGTAGTAAAATTATAGAGAATGTCTATTTTCATTAGAAGTGCTTTATGCAAGAAAAATAAAACATGTACGGAGTAATTCTGTAGTGCCTGACTATACATGATAAACAGTTGTAAGGAATGGTGGTATGCAGGTATAGAGAAGAGAGAGTATGAAAAGGTTTGTATCCTTCCCGAAATAAGAAACGAAATAACTCATTTGTAACATCTCAAAAAGGAAAGTGGGCCACTGATAAACAACCAACATAGTATTAATGTATTACGAGTATTATTCATAATAAATGGCATGAACTCGTAATTTCAAAAGAAGATTCCAGAATTTTTTAAAAAATAGTCCAGACTCGTATAAATATAATGACACCAATGTTTTGTTTTGTTTTGTACTCTTTTAAAATTGGATTAGAGAGGAAAGTATGTTACTCTAAACAAAGATTATGTGGCAAAGTCTACAAACATCTGCCATAGCAGTGCAGGCAGCAAGGAGTTCATAAGGCATAAATTTAAATACACCAATGTTTTTGTTTTGAGAGGGACTAGTTCCGCACTTTTGCATGCATCGACCCCACTGTGTTGTTAATGTTGGTTCAAAAGTAATGCATTTACCTTTGTGCCAGGAGATATTCTCTTCACCAGATATCACCATAGCTGCAGTGTCCATCTCTGATAAGATGAAAGTGGCTTGCACCACTCACTTTAATTTCTCTTTTTGTGATGGTGGTGATAAAATTCAGTGCAGTGTGGCAATCAACTCATTAGCTCAGATTCTTGGTAACAAGAATGGGCCCTCTAGGATTAATAAGATTAAGCCATTGCAACAGATAGCTTCTCACTTTGATAATAAAGAAGAATCTGTTCTTTTGCCTTCTCTTGAACATCTTGGCAAACATGATCAAATTCTGGCAGATACCCGGATCTCTTCATCTCCAAAGATAGTTCATTTAGTTTCTCATTGATTCTGACCGATTGTGGGTGAGATTGATCCCCTCCAACGAATGCGTGGACAATTCCGTTTACTTCAACCCAACTACACCCGGGGTTCTTCTTAAAGCCAGAATCCTTCTGTACAATTCTTATATGAGCAGCATCATCCCATCTCTCTGCAGTACTATATAAATTCGATAAAAGAACAAAATCACCAGGACTCTCAGGCCCTATGGTATGGATCTTATTTGAAACATCTTCTGCCAGTTCAATATTTCTATGAGTTCTACAGGCAGCAAGCAAAGCACTCCATATCCGAGCATCTGGCTCGAACGGCATTGCTTTGATTAAACTGTACGCCTCGTCCAAAAGACCAGCACGCCCAAGAAGATCCACCATGCATAGATAGTGGTCCATCTTTGCAGCAACCTTAAATTCCTGACACATGGTATGGAACCAATGCTTCCCTTCAGTGACAAGACCTGAGTGGCTGCAAGCAAAGAAGAGACTGATGAAGGTTATGCCATCTGGTTGTTGACCAACAGTCAACATATCATTGAACATTGATATTGCTTCTCTTCCGCGACCATGAAGTCCATAACCGGAAATCATCGTGTTCCAAGATACCACATCTCTGGTACGCATTCTATCAAAAACAAGCCTAGCGGCTTCAACCTTACCACACTTCGAGTACATGTCAATCAGTGCATTGCAAATTGAAATATCTGTTGTGTATCCTTTGACAATGGAGAAACCATGGCCACAAACTCCGTGCTGCAGCGCAGCCAACTGTGAACAAGCTGGGAAAAATCCCATCATGGTTGAGTAATCTGGCTCAACACAAGAACATTGCATTTGTTTAAAAATATGTAGAGCTTCTTCTGCATTACCATTCTGCCCTGACCCTGAAATTATAGCACTATAGGAGACCGAGTCTGTGAAATTCATCTCCTCAAATAACCTCATGGCTTCATCTATCCTCCCACACTTTGCATACATAGAAAGAAGCGTGTTGCTCACCATCAGGTCCAGAAAAGATCCCATCTTAATGATTTGAGCGTGTATCTGTTTCCCTCTACGCAGATCAATTAACTTAGCACAAGCTCGGATTAGTATTGCAAGCATGGAAGAAGAAAGGTTGAAGTTCTGTTCCAGCCTCATTGTCCCAAAGAGTTCCAACCCCTTTAGTGCAGAATCACATGTTACGCATGCCCCAATCATAGCACTCCATGTGACTTCATTTTTTGAGTTCATTGCAATAAAAATCCTCTTCGCGTAATCCAACTGCTTACATTTTCCATAAACGTCCAATATCGCAGTATCAAGGACTACACAGCCAACAAAACCCATTCTTATGCAACTCCCATGAACACTCTTCCCTTCTCTCAGCTTGTTTGCCTCCCCAATTGCCGGCAGCATGGCTACCATAGTTGAAGGATTGGCATGCACCCCACTTTTCTGCATTTCCATAACCAAGTTCGCCATCTCCCCATACAAACCATGGGAAGAAAATCCAGCAATCAATGCATTCCACGCCACAGTATCTCTCTCAGTCATTCCATCGAACACCTCTCGTGCATCAGCCAAACACCCGCACTTCACGTAAAAATCAACCAAAGCAGTGCGAACATAAACGTCATTTCCAAGACCGTGTCTTTCCACGTCTTCATGAACCACCTTCCCGTTTTCCAGATCTTGAAGGGCAGAGCAAGCCTTTAACACAAAAGGGTACGTGTATTTAGTGGGTGTGACCCCATAATTCTTCATCTCGTAGTACATCTCAACCGCTCTCTCAAACGGCCCATCCCAGGCATACGCTCTGATCATTTGGTTCCATAAGATGGACTTATTTCTTCTGTCAGTGCTCGGAATCGAATAAAAAACCCGCCGAGCGAGCTCGAGCCTGCGGCATGAGATATAGAAACGGGTGAGCTTGTCAAGAAGGATTGCTTTGCCTTGTGAAAGCGACTTGGACTCGGTAAAGGATTCCAGAAGTTTAATGCAAGCGTGAGGGTCTATTCGGGAATCCAGACAGTTCTGCTGAAGCAAACGCCTCGCTGCGAGAGATGACATTCCAAGGAGGAGGAATAATGGGGGATGGAGGCGGCGACAATTTGAACAATTCTTCGTCCCTAGCCTCGACTCCGGCGGTGTACCCCTAATACATAATCACTACACCCCTACGAGCAACTCCAACGAGAGCTGCTATAATTCATTTGTTATAAACACTAGTATTAGATGTTTAAATACTCCCTCCGTCCACAAATAAATTCTACGTTCACTATTCACAGGGTTAAATTTTTTTCACTTTGTTGGCCTATTTTCGTCACCCATTTGATAAAATAATATAGTCATGTCACCTCTAGTTTTGTAGATCGTTTGATATAGTTTTTTAATATGTAATTTTTATTTTTCAATTCTACATCATTTTTCATATAAAATGATTTGAAAATAACTTCAGTCAAACATCGTAACGCGTAATGTAAAGTTTATTTGTGAACGGAGGGAGTAGTTCTTTAGCTTTTCACTTTTTCTAAGCAACTCCAACCATGTAGTCTAAATTTTAAACTTTTATTATATTTAATATTTACTGTATATCTTTACTATATAATGTAAAGAGTCAAATCTCCTCCACTTGTTTCTTTTTCTTTTGTTCTCTCTCTCCTCTCGCAACTTAATATTTTATTATTTTTTAGATTTAGCTCATGAATAGTTATCTGCTAAATAAAGCTGGTGGGACTTCCATTTTAACTCACCATCTGTTTTATAAAAGGTTGATGTTATTAATGAATAGTGTCACTTAAATCTTCTATAATAAAGCTTATAGAAGAGGCGTTTGAGTTGCTCTAAGAGATTTATAAAATATACTCCCTCCGTTCTAAAGGGCTAATAGCATTACAAAAAGGTCGTCAAAGTCTTTTCTGTTTTTAAAAGTTATTTGTAAAGTCCCTATGGTTTCTAAATAGAGCACACATGCCCCCCTTACCTATTTTTAGAGCAAAAATGACATTTGTACTGTCACATTATCACAGTACGAACACTTGTTTTAAAGATAAAAATATAGAACTTATATTTTGATATTTTTTCTATTTTTTATTCTTATTTGCAGTGATTTCCTATCAATTTTCATATATATATCTGATGGTAAATTTCTTAATCAATGAAAATAGGAGGTTTATTTTAACTTTCCTACAACTAATCTATTAATAGACCTGTACAAGCACAGATTTGACCCACGTTTAAAACTAAAGATATAAATGCCCATTTCAATTTGGTATTCTTGGTTTTTTAAGATTTCTCAAGATCAATTAGGTCTTGTTCATCCCTATTAAAAAGTATTCCCTCTCGTTCGAAATGAACTTTACATTCTAATTTAAAAAATTTGATTGGAATTATTTTCAATTTAATTTGGTCAAGCAATGCAACTTTCGACGTTGAGCCGGGGGTCTCTTTGGAAACAGCCTCTCTACTTTTAAGTAGGGGCAAGGTCTGCGTACACACCCTCCCCTAACCCTACTCTCGTGGGATTTAACTGGGTTGTTGTTGTTTAATAAATACACCTTTCATCTCAATAATTATCTTCATTCTTTTCTATTGGAGTCGTTCCATTATTTTCTTTTTCTTTTTTAAAATTAATAAATATGTGGTCCGTATAAATTCTCTTTCCACTAAACAAACTACAATCAATTGCATTTCATTTTGACCCCGTTTGGTATTAGCGTTAGAGATCAGCGTTAATATTTTTAAAAGAGTATCCGACAATAGTCTTTAGCATTGGCATTTTCAAAATTTATTTAAATTATTTAAATTTTATCCAAAATGCTAATACTAATTAAAAATATTGTTATGAAGAGAGACTTTTATTAAAAACCACATTATAATTTCGGGGGGGGGGGG